CTGGAGAAAAGCAGATTCTTCTTCTTCTTCTGAAGGGACCCCAAGAGTCATCTAGTCCAACTCCCTGCAAAGCAGAAATCACAGCTAAAGAATCCTTCATGGACTGTCATCCAGCCTCTCTTGAAAACAAGCAATGAAGGAACGTCCATTACCTTTGAGGCAGTCTGTTCCTCTGTCAAACAGCTCTTACTGTCAGAAAGTTCTTCCTAATGTTTAGCCAGAGTCTTTCATGTGACAGCCCTTGAGATATTTGAAGATGGCTATCATCCCTCCTCTCTGTCTCCTTTTCTCCAGGCGAAACATACTCAACTCCCTCAAGCGTTCCTCATAAGTTCTCCCCAAAAGGTAAGTTTTCAGTAAGTGTCTAATACACTCTTTCTCTGGCTAAACCAGAATTTGCCAGTGACTCAGTCCTTCGCTTGTGTATGTGGATGGTAGTTTTTGCAGCATCAACATTGTGGGAATGTTCAGGGTGGCAGGAGAGGATATATTGTTTATTAATACCCTTCCTAACTTGCGTTAGCAAGTTCCTTTATGTATCAGAGTTCCATTCCCCTTTCTTACATGAACAGCAGATAGCTGGTTGCAGGCTCGTGTAAGCCTCTCACTATTATACAATTCAGTCTGTCTCAGATTGAATTGTACATTCCTGGTAAATTCCCTTCAATCCCTCTTAAAAGAATAAAGACACGACAATTTTATTCAAAGCCAATAAAAGAAGTTTACTCACATCAGTTCACAGTTGGATTCCTGAAGGCAGACTTAGTTACAGATATGTTCCCCCATATGGGGGAATGATCCCAGTGCTTCTGCTACCTAGGAGCTAGCAGAGCAGTCCTAGCTAAAAAAGCTGGTCAAACAAAGAAGGAAGTCAAAAAGAGGTAGGTGTGCTGTGTGACTCGTCCTTTTGTTACCTGGACAGGTAACCCACCTTTAGTCACATGCAAAGAAAGGATGCTGCAGCCAGGAGGAAGAGGAAGTTTTGACTGGCTGGACCAAACATTCTCCCACATGTCTTCTCTATCATTACAAGGAATCTGGTACTTGACTGCCTCCCATGGATCACATCCCACAAACATGAACATGGAAAGACTCAAACTCATAATAGCACATATATAGAGTAGATATCTAAGATGTGACATAAGAGTACGGAAGAATGATAGCAGAGACCTTCCCAGCCACGTTCATACTTCACAGCAGCAATTCAATCTTCGTTTGGAAAGTCCACGATCGTGCTGCAAAAAGCCTTAATTCTGAATTACGGAGCATTCATTCAGGGATCTCCAAATGATCTCGCAACACAACGGCTGCTAACTAACTACCCAGGTGCCTTTTGTGCATTCACTTTATTGCTAGCTCACTTCCAATTAGCGATCACTTAAGCTGTATGAAAACCGGCAAGGCTGTTAAAGTGAGGAAAGCAAGCAAGCATGCAAGCAAGCAAGAAAACCACACACAACAGCTGCATTCAAGCAGTGCTACAATCCATCACAGTGAAAGAAAGATAAAACAACATCTCGAAAGCTTCCAATTTCTACATGTCTCCAAGGGGGATTCAAATTACAGCTGTTTGCAGCAATCTTAACATGTATGGCAAAACAAGGAACATGGTCTTATGGTGATGCAACCCCATGCAGTCTACCTGCCTAGGCAGCCTTGCTCCTGGTCTTGCAATGCTTTGGGATGCTACTGCTGAGAAAATACTTGAAGGTGGAGGAAGTTCAGATTTGGGGCATAGGAAGTGACCTCATAGCAAACCAGATCACTGATCCATCCATCTCAGTTTGGTCTACACCAAGGAGGGAGAACCTGTGGCCTTCACACAGCACATTGTTAAACTGTGGAACTCACTTCCACAGGAAGGGGTGATGGCCACCAACCAGGATAACAACAACAGCAACAGCAACAACAACAACAGCAACAATTTATTTATACCCGCCCATCTGGCTGAGTTTCCCCAGCCACTCTGGGCGGCTTCCAATCGAGTGTTAAAAACAATACAGCGTTAAATATTAAAAACTTCCCTAAAGAGGGCTGCCTTCAGATGTCTTCTAAATGTCAGGTAGTTGTTTATCTCTTTGACATCTGATGGGAGGGTGTTCCACAGGGCAGGCACCACTACCGAGAAGGCCCTCTGCCTGGTTCCCTGTAGCTTTGCTTCTCGCAATGAGGGAATCGCCAGAAGGCCTTTGGAAGTGGACCTCAGTGTCTAGGCTGAACGATGGGGGTGGAGACGCTCCTTCAGGTATACAGCACCGAGGCCATTTAGGGCTTTAAAGGTCAGCACCAACACTTTGAATTGTGCTCAGAAACGTGCTGGGAGCCAGTGAAGATCCTTTAGGACCTGCGTTATATGGTTCTGGTGGCCACTCCCAGTCACCAGTCTAGCTGCCGCATTCTGGATTAATTACAGTTTCCGGGTCACCTTCAAAGGTAGCCCCACGTAGAGTGCATTGCAGTAGTCCAAGCTTTAAAAGAGGATTAGACAAATTCATGGAGGAGAGAGGGCTTTCAATGGCTGCTAGCTTCAAAGGCTAGGCTCTGCCTCCATGCTTGGCGACAACGATGCTTCTGAACACTGATTCCTGGAAGCCACAGGAGGAAAGAGCGCTCTTGTGTTTGAATCTTGTTTGCTGGTTTCCCTGCAGGCATCTGGCTGGTCACTGTGAGAAGAGGGTGTTGGACTAGATGGGCCATTGGCTTGATCCTGCAGGCTCTTCTTATGTTATTTCTAAATGCTCTTGGGCTTCCAACTCCCACCAGCCCCAGGGAGCACAGCCACAAATGACTGTGTTCTACCTCCATTGTCAGAGACAATGTCTCTGAATTCCAGTTGCTGTGAATCACTTGCTCCTATATTCCTGACCCCGCTGAGTTAAATTGGAAGCACTGGGTTGTAGCCCACTGAATTTTACTTCACCCTTTGAAATGAATGGACCTAAGGAAGTCATGGGCACTACTGCAATACCTACCTGGACCCTGAGTTCATCATCTGAGACCATTCTTCATGTACCTCTTCCACCAAAGGTCCGGAGGGTGGCAACACGAGAACAGGCCTTTTTTTGCAGGGGCTTCCCATTTGTGGAATGCTCTCCCCAGGGAGGTTCACCTGGTACCTTCATTATACACCTTTAGGTACCAGGTGAAGACACTCATTTTCAACCAGGCCTTTAGTTGATTGACATCTACTGCTCTTTTAAATGTGTTGTGGGAGAGTGGATTATTGGTTGCTTGTTGCTATTATTTTTCCTACGTATCCTGTGGTTTTTATATTGTAATTTTATGTTGTAAAGCACATCAAGATCTGTGGATGAAGGGCAGTATAAACATCATCATCATCATCATCATCATCATCGATCGACAAATGTTGGAAGTTTAGCTCTGTTTAGTGATCAATTGCTGATTTCTACATATATAAACACCAGGATGCGGGTGGCACTGTGGGCTAAACCACAGAGTCTAGGGCTTGCCGATCAGAAGGTCGGCTGTTCAAATCCCCACGACGGGGTGAGCTCCCATTGTTCGATCCCTGCTCCTGCCAAGCTAGCAGTTCGAAAGCACGTCAAAGTGCAAGTAGATAAACAGGTGCCGCTCTGGCGGGAAGGTAAACAGTGTTTCCGTGCGCTGTACACCGGCTCCCTTGGCCAATAAAGCGAGATGAGCGCCGCAACCCCAGAGTCGGCCACGACTGGGCCTAATGGTCAGGGGTCCCCTTTACCTTTACCTTACATATATAAACACATTGCTAAAGGCACAAGAGCAGACTAGAATGTGTTCCCCCCTTCTTGGCCTGTTGGTAACCTTACTTGCATGCCATGTCAAAATCTCCAAGATTTTGTTCTTAATAATTTTCTTTTCCAGCAAGCTATGAGTGGGGTCATACATAGGAAGATGCATGGTAAGGGATCAGAAAACTGGCCAGCCTAGCTCAGTATTGTCTATCTGACCATGGCAATATCTCTCCAGGGTTCCAACAGGAGCCCCTTCTGCCTGAATCATGGAGATTTTTCTAATAACATGCAAATCGGATTGCCAACAAAGGGGGGGGACCCTAAACTCCAGCTATCCTTTTATATCAAGGACAGCCACCTTTGTTCCTTTTTTCGGGTGGGGGTCTTGGTGAAGAGATGATGCCTTGTTAAAATATTATCCATGCACTTTGCTAGAGTTACCTGTGGGATGTAATCCATTGGAACAGTCAAATGCAACATTCCTTATTTTCCTAGAGTGGGCACAGGCAGGGGGATGCTTCTCCAGTCAGTGTAACTTCCTGTTCCACTGGTCTGGAGCGTCCTCCCCCTGCATGTGACCTGGGAGATGGGCGTGGCCCTGGCTGACTCCATAAAAGAGGCGAGTCATACAGCTATTTTCTCCCTCTTGCTCTCCATCTCTTGCTTGCTGCTCTCTTGCTGCCACGCTGTTCTCCTGCAGCCATTTTGTTCTCTTAATGTAATTTTGCTGTCTGCTGGCTCTCAGCCAGCAGCACATGAGCTCAATCTCTATGTGAGATGAACTCACAGATTGTTATGCAACTACTAAGTAAAGCCTGCATTTCAGAGATCAAATCGTGAACTGAAGTGTGAGTAAACTTCTTGTTACTTTTAAGGAAAAACTTGTGTTTTTATTCTTTTGAGAGGGATGAAAGGGGAAACCAGGAATAATCCATCAAGGCAAGCCAGATTGGATTACTTAACGAAAGAGATCCAAGTGAATCTGCAAACTAGCTTCCTGCTATATTAAGGGGAATCTGCTCTGCTACATCACTCACTAGCGTGAGTGAAGGAAGGATAATACTTATGCAATATATCCTTTCTTACTATCCTTAACATTTCCACAATACCCTTCTTCAGGATAGAGCTCTCTCCCCAGGGTCTATAGGTCCATTTCGGAGTGAAGGGTTCAAGCAGAGGAGTTTTGTGCATGCAAATCTCACACTCCCCTCTTTTAATCAAAGATGGATATAAATACCTGTGGCCCATCCCAATGTTGTCGGACTCAAATTCCCTGCAACCCCAGCCAGCACGTCCAATGGTCAGGAGGGACACAGAGTCTCTATTCTTGCTATACACACATTTTTGGACTCTGTATATCCACCTGGCTTTGCAAACAAAAAGCACCACAATCGGGGGATGGATTCTTTATTTCTTTGGAACAAAAAGTTTTCCCTCCTCTGTAGAAAGTGTAGCATTTCATTTCAAGAACTGCATCTTAAGGCTTGTGATCACGTTCTAGCAGCAGTACAGCTCTTCTGTTGAAATCTCAGTGGATACATCACTCTTGTTCTTAAGATGTGTAGCACATTTTAAGGGGCGGGAATAAAACACCTGGATTTCTGCATGCCCTTGTTGAGGTAGCCAAGTGTGATCATCCCTGGTTGACAACATTAAGGCTCCCTGTGTGCAGATGGACTCCAACTCCCATCAGCCTCAGCCAACATTATATCCCGGTCAGGGATATTATGGGAGTTGGAGTCAAACCACATAAGGTGCCTTGTCCCTGCTATACACTTTCCTGGGAATAATTCCCATTAAACTCAATGGGGCTTACTCCCAAGTGGCCATTTATATAGATCTGTGGGGCCTGTGACTAGCTGGCAGCGTATGTGTCTACTCAGAAGTTCTCATGGAGTCCAATGAGGCTTATTCTCAGGAAGGCAGGGACAGCTGAAGCCTATGTCACAGGTGCCATGAGAATCCCGAAGGATGAAAAGTCAGTCGAGATGTACTACATTAAGGTTGCAATTTTAAATGAAATTTATCCAGGCAACTGATCACCAGCTGAGCTATCCAGCTGATAGGCACCCTGGCTTGGGAGCAAATTCTGCTAAAATCAGCGGGGCTGAAATTCCAAAGAAACAAAACCAGAGGATCCTAAGTGTTGGAGTGCTTTATAGGTCGTTTAGTCCATGGAAAAGGACCTGTGACCCTCTAAATCGGGGGCAGCGAATCTGTAGCTCTCCAGCTGTTGTTGAACTACAACTTTCCCCATCCCTGACCATTGGTTATGCTGGCCGGTTATGTTGGGAGTTGTAGTTCGGGAGTAGGAGGGGCACAGATTCCCTACACCTGCTCTAGATATTCTTGGGACTCCCAAGTCCCATCAGCCCCAATGGTCAGAGCTAATGGATACACAAGCCAGCCACATCTGGAGAGCTATAGGTTCCCTAATGCGGGGCCCATCCATCTAGTTTTGAGCTGCATACAAGCAAGGAGACGGTAGAACTCACCATCCTCTAATTGTTGTGCAGAAGGTGTAGCTTTTCACACCATTGTGTAATAAGTTTCAGTCACCTGTGAGCAAGCACGGGCATGCCATACTATTAATCTCTGCAACAGCTGTGAAAGGCTCAATGCGAGTATGCAAAATTTCTTTTCAGATTCGGGGAGGCGACAAATGACCTGACAAATGACAAGAGTGGCACTCTTGTACAAGTGATCTGCCATCTTCCAATTTCTTTAAAAAGTCAGGACTTTTTCAGATTATTTTCAGTTTGCCACTTTTTCAGTTTGCCACTATGTTGGATGCAGACTTTGTGATGCTCTGAGCAGATCCATTGAAATCAATGGGACTTAAGCCTAGGCAGTGGCATAGCAATGTCAGGTGGTACCCGGTGCAAAAAAAATCTTCTCTCCCCACTCCCCCTGAAATCTAGTTGGACTCCCAAGAGACTGTGATCTACTCACAGTATAAAAAGACTGGCTGTGATCTACCAATTGTCATTGTCATTGCCAGGAGCTGTTGAGCTTTTTTAAGGGAAGGATTGGCCAAAGTTCTTGAACTTTTTTTGGGGGGGGGGTTTCCTCTGCTGGTTTGCTCGCCTGCCTCCTTCCCATCCTCTCCCTGCCTGCCTGCCTGCCTGCATGCCTCCTACAGCAGAACTGTCAAAACGAAGGGGAAAGGGGAGAAGGATGCCTGCAAAGCACTGCAGCTACCGCCCTTCCCACGACGGCTCAGGGTAGGCAGGAATTACGGATGGCCGTGGTGCCAAATGTCACCCCCCTAGCAGATGACACCCAGGGCGCTCCACCCCCAACGCACCCACCTTGCTCCGCCCCTGAGTCTAGGAATGACTAGAGTTGTGGACCCAACTCTAGGGGGTTTCCCTCACTTTATAGATTACCAATATGCACAAGTGCATATAAATTCATGGAGAGCAAAGCTGTCAGTGGCTGCTAGTTATGGTGGCTGCATGGAACCTCCAGGATTAGGCTCAACATATCTCTAGATGCCAGTCATGGGGAATAGTAGCAGGAGAAGGACAAGCGTCCTCATGTTCTGCTTGTGAGATTCCCTGAGTTATCTGATTGGCCACTTGAAGAGATAAAAGGCTGGTGTCTGGTTTGATGCAAGAGGGATTGTACATTCCTATGGTTTATTTTTGTGCCCAGAAGAAACCTGAAAGGGGGAAAGGGCATGAATGAAAAACTGCAGCATAAGACACACTTGGAATTAATTTTTGTCACTCTCTTGGTTAAAGCAGGAGGCAGGCAGAGTAGGTCGTGCAGCAGAGCCAACCCTCAGAACAGGAATGAAAACATCTGCTTGTCCCCAAGGCAGACTTCTGATTCCCAAATGACTCATCTGAGCAGTAGGAAATACTGCCAGAATCTAGAGCTCATGTCACTGGGCTGCAGAGCTGCAGAGCAAAATATATATATTCCACCCCCCGCCCACTAAAAATCCCTAGAAGAAATATTGCATTTAACCCCATCATATATTCTCGCAAAACAGCCGTGGAAATTCAACTCTTTTAAAAAATAATTTTGCTTTCTGTGGGTATGCTTGTAACTGTGATGTATCCCCAGAAAGCAAATTTTAGAGTCTCCCTCAAGCAGGTATTCACAAAAGAAGCATTGAATGTAATATCTCAGCCTTCTTAAAGAGAGCACCTTGGCTGAGCGGTGATGATTCAGAGATATAGCCCAGACTGTGAATATCAAACATTTGTGGGGGACCCTACAAGGCAAACCATCCAAAAAATTTAAAGCAACAACTTTGATGTATATATATTTTTTTCAACCGCGTGTTTGGGAAGGTTGCGAATTTCCTGATCTTGGTTTCATGTTCTGGACTAGCAAAGGCTGGGCTATGTGGAGACGCTTTCCTCTCGTGAGTTATTTGCTCAGTTCCAGTGTCCACAAACAGCTTGGAAGTTACTTAGGACTTAAAGCAAGCTGAGCAGCTGACGAGCTTGGAGGAATTCAAGTGCGGTTTGACGACATCGGGTTCGACGGGCTGCACTGGGTCGCTCTCGCTAGCAATGATGTGTTTCACCAAGCACTTGGAAGCTTCGTCAATGTTTATGTTTTCCTGTAGGTGAAGGAAAAAAGAAGAAGCACAAGTTAGATCTTGGGTCTACCCAGTTCAGTATTGTCCACACTGACTGGCAGCAGCTGGGTATGATTTCAGGCAGGAGTCTTTCCCATCCCTTCCTGGAAATACCATCCGGGATTGAACCAGGAGCCTTCTGCCCGCAAGGCAGCTGCTCTGCCACTGTATCTAAAGGCAACACGATGACCAAGTACAACAATGCGATATCAATATAAACTCTTTATATACCGTATTTTTTGCTCCATAAGACACACTTTTTTCCTCCTAAAAAGTAAGGGGGAATGTCTGTGCGTCTTATGGAGCGAATGCGTGGTCCCTGGAGCCAAATTGCCCAGGGGCAAAAAGCAGATCATGCTCTTTTTTTTAGAAAGAGGGAAGGGGGTGTTGAAACAAAGCCGCTGAGCAGCTGAGCAGCAAGCGATCGGGAGGGGAGATAAGGGACTCTAGAGATAAAGGAGGCTGCCTGGGAGGGGGGAGGTAAAGACAGCGAACGTGCAAGGAGCGGAGACAAGAAGATTAAAACAATGAGGAGAGAAATTAGAAGAAAAGGAGGAGCAAAAAACTGCTTTAGCTAAGGAAAAGACGCTAAGGCAAACAAGAGGGAAGGGGGTGTTGAAACAAAGCCACTGAGCAGCTGATCGGCAAGCGATCAGGAGGGAGATAAGGGACTCTAGAGATAAAGGAGGCTGCCTGGGAGGGGGGAGGTAAAAGCACAGGAATCCTCAGGATTTTTTCATTGGGTCACCCCAAATTCTCCATCAGATCACATAGCATGTCCAGGGCTACAGCCTGCACCAAAAAACCCCACGCATCTACTGTTTTGTGGGGCTGCAATGGCGCAAAAACGTGGTTACAAAGCACCGATCCACATGGATCCTCAGGATTTTTGCATTGGGCTACCCCAAACTCACTGTCGAATCACATATCATGTCTGTGGCCACAGCATGAACCACAAAAATCATACATCCACTGTTTCGTTCAGAATATTTTTTTCCTTGTTTACCTCCTATAAAAACTAGGTGCGTCTTATGGTCAGGTGAATCTTACGGAGCAAAAAAATACGGTAATCTATACAGAACATTGTACAATATGAAATATATGAAATATGCACTCTGCAAAACCAAATAAACAGAAGTCTTCTAAATCTCTGAAAGTCACAAAATATGCACTTTTGATGGATTCTCAAATAAACATAATTCTTATAGGTCTCTGAAAGTCTTTGTGGGCTATGCCACTGAGCTACCCAGGAGGTCTGTCTGGATGCTCTTTGAGGGACTTTCCTATCACCAATTCTCTGCCAGTAGCATTGAGTGCGTATTGACGGATCCAGCTGAAAGTGCTGGCTTTAACAGGTAAGGTTTGAACAGTTTGGGACCTTGTTATTTTAAGGGCCACCACCTATTATTACATTTCTATACCACCTTTCATCTGAAGACCACAGGGCAGTTAACGATGTAAAAACACAAACATACATGCCATAATAATGAAAGCAATGACACTACACACATGCAAAGCTTTCCAAGCCTTCGATTGACCTCCAAGGTCCTGTCCTCTGGCCCCCCATAATCATCAGACTGATGTCTTGCTAGCTGTCTTCCAGGAAGTGTGCACCCCCCCTTTATTGGTGATCCATTTTGCGTACTACCTCATCGGATTTTGTGGCTTTCACGCTGGGTCTAATGTTTTTGCTGCTGCTGTTTTGGGTTGTTTTGACATTTATTGGCCTGTTTTTAATCCTGTTATATACCTGATGCATTGCTTGTCTGTCCTTGTGAAGGTTTAGCATGACAGGCAAGGTATAAATATCTGAAATGCAAACATACAAAAGGAGGAAAGTGGCACAGACTGGAGTCTGAATATAGCAAAGGCAATTGAAGCGAACAAATGAACTCTGGGTTGGATTTAAGAATCCTGAACAGGCATGTCATACCCACCCAGTGATTGGGGGAAAAATGGGACATCCCATTTTTTCATGCAAGATCGCAGCAGCCATTTTGAGTGTGCACTCTCGCTCTCACCCCAAGAAAAATGCTTTATTTGGGGCTGTGATCTTGCACAGTGCCAAAAAAATGCATTTTGGGGTGTCATGTGAGATTGCACCCCGAAAAAGTGTTTTTTGTGGGCAAGATCATTGTGCGGGTCATGTGACTTGCCCAGAAGAGCATCCCGGAAGATGCACATCTCGGTTTTTTATCTGAAAGGGTTGGACAGTATGGGCTCTGCTTTCAGAATGAACCCATGAAATTCCTCACCACCAGGAAAGAAGAAGAGTTTGGATTTGATATCCCGCCTTTCACTCCCCTTCAGGAGTCTCAAAGCAGCTAACAATCTCCTTTTCCTTCCTCCCCCACAACAAACACTCTGTGAGGTGAGTGGGGCTGAGAGACTTCAAAGAAGTGTGACTAGCCCAAGGTCACCCAGCAGCTGTATGTGGAGGAGCGGAGACATGAACCCGGTTCCCCAGATTACGAGACTACCGCTCTTAACCACTACACCACACTGGCTCTCAAAAGCTGGAGAAAATGTGGACACCCCTTTCTAAATGTGCCCAATCCAAGTTGGGGCTGCTCAGTGAATAGAAGCAAATCTCCCACCCATCTGAGATAGCTCAGTCGGTGGAGCATGAGACTCTTTGGTTGTGGGTTCGAGCTCCACATTAGGCAAATGTTTACTGTACCTCAGGAGGTTGGACTAGATGACCCTTGGAGTCCCTTCCAACTCTACAATTCTGTGAGTCTATAATACTTATCCCAGGGTAATTAATTGCATGGCTGCGTTCAGAGATGCTTGTGTGTGGTGGACCCAGCCAGATATTGGCTCTTGATCGCTTGCACCTCACTGTGAAATGTAACAGCTTACACGGTGGTGACGGATGGAGAGCAGGCACCAACCTCAAAGGACTTGAGTCTATCATACAACATTCTGAACAGACCTGCAAATTCCTTTGGCTGACCATAAGTGACTGTCGAGGTGTTGTAGAATGCTTTGAGCTGAAGGCAACTTGAGCAACTGATATTTCCTCTGCTCTCTGAAAACTGGGTGGAGGAACCTTAAACAAGTGAAGCATCACTGGTGCAAGATTCCTCAGCCTCATTTCAGGAGACGCCCCCTGCCCCGGTCAAAGTAGCACCATACAACATAGTCAACCCTATTCAGAAGCTCACACTTAAGAACCTAGGAACAACCCAGGTAGGTCAGACCAAAGCCCCATCTAGCCTAGTATCCTTTTCTCACAGCAGCCAAGCAGATGGAAAGCTCACACATTCTTTGGCGGACCATGTGAAAGTAATATGACCCATAAATAGAAAACCGAACATGACCCAATTTGATTGGTACAGTGGAACCTCAGTTTTCGAGCGTCTCAGAAGCTGAACAATTCAGAACCTGGACACTGAAAACCCGAAATTGAACGCTTCTGTTTTTGAACACGCCTCGGAAGTTGAACGGCTTCCAAGGCATGTTTCTCCATCGAAATTGCTGGCCACCCATTGCGCCTCGGTTGTTGAACATTCCAGAAGTTGAACGGTCTTCCGGAATGGATTACGTTCAACAACCAAGGTACCATATCAATTTATCATGCATTTTTGGAAATGGAATACAAATTCTGCAGAAAAACATACTACTAGAATAGTTTCAATGGTACATGTCCCACCCATGGCACATTTAGGCACACAATTTTGGGATTTCTGTTCCGTTACTAGGACACACACTACAATGCTCAAAACTTCCAGGTTTATCGTTATTGAGCATCGTAACATTAACCTGAAGAGAAAATATGACACTTTACTGAATAGGCCTTCAAGCAATTTCAGGCTGCAGTTCAGAATTCGTCACCAGTGTAATTTTTGCATTTTTCATACAGCTGTAAAACAAACACACAACATTAATGCCTAGAGCTTTCATTTCTAATACCTGAAATAAATCCTGTCACATCTGGGTGCCTTGCTTTCTTTGCTGACATAATGTGCCGTTATTAGTTTTAGTTTTCATGGGCTGCTTCCCACTTCCAAATGAAATGGTTTATGATTGGCCGTGTAAATCTCTTAGGATTGATGATTCTTATGGTCTAGGGATGTAAAGCTGTGTCTAGAATTTACACAGTCAAGCAGTTTATGGGAAGGTGGAATTGTGTGTCCTTTGAAACCCAGGGGAAACTGTATACCGGAAGTGCAACAGCAGAGATCATTCAGTTTCTTACTTAAGGGTTAATTCAATAAAGGGTTAATTCATTAAATAAAGTGTGTTGGGTGACACTGGTGAATGCTGAATGCTCTCCCCCCCAACAAAAAATGGCTTATCTGGTACCTACACAGTTAATATTTTTGGTTAAGGATGCCCCCGACGATTTAAAAACCTCCCTGTCTCGAATGGATCATTTTCATCGCCCTCATTTTCATTAAGATTCATGCTGTAACTTGAGTTTTATTGCATTCTGTAACGCTGATTGTTTTATCGATTGCTGCTGTGTCAGCTGCCCTTGGAAGCGTTCTGTCTGAAGGGTTTGGATGCAAATGGAGAGAACAAATAAACACTTTTAATTCCCACCCTCCGTTAACAGAGATTGCTCCAGGTCTTTGCCTTCTGTTCAACAGGCACCAAGGAAGCGGAGGGAGGGGGACTTTGCAAAGATTCGTCCCCCCACCCTTGGGTGTGTTCTGTCAAAGGCCAGTTCAGAAGGCCAGCAACCTAATCACTTAATCACAGTGACTATTTACATTTGCAGTCCTGTCCTTGGTAGCTCCAGCTACTGACATCTGTACAATGGAAAAGCAGAGGGTGAGGAATAATTTTCCCCCCCTGTCAAGGACAGACTCTCCTGGAGGAAGGTAAATCTGTCAGGGGCTGCACATGAGCAGAGTTGAAGCCAGCAGTGGGTTTTCCCCATTTTCTCTGCCACCCACTTTAAATTCTGCTAAGGCCTTCATGTCACCCTGACGCAGAGCAATGCAAACTGTAGGGAATTCTTGGGGTTCACTGGAAGCTTATCTGGGATTCCTCCAGTATAAAGAGAAATCCGATTGGACTGCTTTTATTTTGGGGGGGGGTGAGGGGGAGGTTTCTGGAAACAGGGAAGGGAAAGAAATTCAATTCAGTTTGCATTTAAAGGAAAACCTACATAATTTCCACTCTCCAAAACAATGCACAAACTGAAACACAGGGATCTTTCAAAATTCGTACTTCCCTGAATTTTGCAACACAGAACTCCACTCAAGAGGTGTGTAGAAAAATGCACATTTTGTGTGTGCATAAAAATGCATGTATAGATATAAACTTGTAGTAGGGGAAAATGCTTTGAAAAAAATGTGAACGTTAGGAGAAATTCACACTAAAATGATGGTCAATTTTCATGAGAACTTAAAAAAAATGCAAATTGATGCAAAAATGTGAGGGATCTGAATTTAAGATTGGGGAAAAACCAGATCAGAAACCAGGAAGATCAAGTATTTCTAAAAGACTGGAATAATTTTTTTATAGTATTTAAAAGACCAGTGTAAACAGTTAAAATCATTGGCAGGGATACAATGACACTTGTAATGTGAAATGAACTTTGGAAACTATGACTATATAACAGATAGATAAAGGTAAAAGATGCAGAAAAAGAACAAAAATATTTTCTTTGGAAATGGAAACAATGGAGGGAGGGGAGGAGGTCCAAAGGTTCGAAAGAACTTTTTTATTTTAATGTTTTGAAATGGTTAAAGTTAAAATGTATAAATTTATGTAAAACCAATAAAAAATTTATATATATATATATATATATATATATATATATATATATATATATACACACATGAATTTAAGATAGGGGGAAAATGAGAAAATTTGAGAAACCAACATTGACAGATTCACCCATCCCTATCCAGCGATGCTGAAGAAGGGGCTTTCTGAGCTAGGAAAATGAAAAGAATCTGTAGTTCAGAACAACTGCAACTCATTAACAGCTTGTATCCTGTTGCAATGAGAAGAACAGAGATGTTTCTCAATCTGGACCTCTGGATTCTGAAATGAGGCGAAGGATAGATAAACGGTTGCCATGGTCACCAGGCCTTGGCCTAGCAGGGACATAACAGGCAGTGTTGGATTTACGTATAAGCTGAACAAACTTTAGCTTAGGGCCCCACTCTCTTGGGGGCCCCCCAAAAAAATTAAAGGAAAAAAAACCCCTGGGTGTACATTTCCAAAATATAAGATAAAAAAGAATTAAAATAAAACCTACATACAGCAACAGTGTTTGGTGTTGCGTAGGCTCCTATGATGTAAGTAATGGGCCCCACCTGCTAGCCTGCTCCCTAAAATATCACTGGTTTGCTCATTTCTATATATAGGGTGCCTACATAAAATACATATTTTGTTATGTGCAAATGGCTTTAGATACCTATTAGGTCCATAAGTTACCATATGGCATATGTTCAACACAAAAAACAGTGAGAATTTGTTGTTGACAAAGGACAGCTGGACATATAAAGGGCCCCATTACCTTCAGTAGCTTAGGGTCTCATCAAACCTAAATCTAGCCCTGATAACAGACCATTATTGGAAGAGGATACCTCCAATGGCTCTGGGTCCAGTGTAAGACCTCAGGAGCACACTGGCCAAAACAAACAGAAGCTATCGTCAGCGAGATGCATTCAGCTGGTTTTCTGCTAATATATTTGCAATTAATTTTACAAAGTGTTTTCAGGCTCTGGTTATAACCCTCTTGCCCACCGGTGCTCAGACCCTGTTTGAGGGCTTTCCATAGGCTTCTGGTTGGCCACTGGGAGAACAAACTGCTGGAGTAAATGGGACGTTGGTCTGAACCGGAAGACTCTTCTCATGTTCTAATGAAGTAGCTTCCACGTGTCACAACGGAAGCGAAGCAGAACTGCAAAGGAAGCCCATTACTTCCTGAGTACCGAGCTAATACTTATCTCATCTCTATGCGGTAGTTCTGGCTATCTTATAACGGCTTCTTTAGAAAATGTCAGCAGAGCAAAGTGGAAATGCTCATGCAGGGGGAATAGTGCAGTGCAGTGGCAAACAGGCTGGGTTTGGAGCGGGGAGACCAGGATTCAGGTCCATTTCCTTCTCAGAGATGCAGCTCTGCCCTCCAAAACCTCAGAGCTAAAAATAGGCATAGATCAGTCTGTGTCAACCTGGTGTCCTCCAGCTGTCTTGGACTACAATTCCCATCAGTCCCAGCCGACACTGGCGGGAGTTGTAGCCCCAAACAGCTGGGGATCATCAGGTTCACTAAGGCTGGCACAAATCTTGTGTACTTACAACACTCCTATTCTGCATCTCACATACACACCCCTGAAAATACTTCTTTGCCTGTTCATAGAATCATAGAATTGGAGAGATGGAAAGGACCATGAGGGTTATCTAGTCCAACCCCCTTGCAATGCAGGAATCTATTGCCCAATGTGGATCTTGAACCCACAGTCCTAAGATTAAGCCACATGCTCCACTGATGAAGGGTACCGTACTCACTGAGGGACACAAAGAACTTTACAAACAGGTAAAGGTAAAGGGACCCCTGACCATTACGTCCAGTCGTGGACGACTCTGGGGTTGTGGTGCTCATCTCGCTTTACTGGCCAAGGGAGCCGGCATTTGTCCACAGACAGCTTCTGGGTCATGTGGCCAGCATGACTAAGCCGCTTCTGGTGAACCAGAGCAGCGCACGGAAACACCGTTTACCTTCCCGCCGGAGCGGTACCTATTTATCTACTTGCACTTTGACGTGCTTTTGAACTGCTAGGTTGGCAGGAGCAGGGACCGAGCAACGGGAGCTCAACCTGTCGCGGGGATTCGAACCGCCAACCTTCTGATTGGCAAGCCCTAGGCTCTGTGGTTTAGACCACAGCGCCACCCACGTTACAAACAGACTCCTGCTCAAACCAATGGGATGCCCCCCCGACTGCAGCCCCTACCACCTAAAGCTGATCCAGAGGGTCCCCAACTCTCAGAGCAGATTTAGGGTGTGGGGGCTGCAGGGAGAAAGTGTTTGTTGAGTATTTGGGGCACACTTGCTTAGAAAACATACAGTGGATCAAGATCATTTCAGGGTGTGCAATGCTCATGTATCTCCAATAAAACATTTTTAAATAGACAAAACAAAATGGCAGATTTCACCTATATATATTTTAAGTGGCTATCTTATCTTGCTGACATTCCTGTGTTCTTCTTTTTCAAAAATGGTTCCTATCCACCCCTGCCCTTAGGGATGGGGCAAGGCAGAAAACTAAGATAGTACCTGCATAATACCCAAAACTTTCTATCTCACATACACACCTGTATACACGAAGGGCACCTACCCCTCCTTGTGTCACAACCCTGCCAGCCCTCCATCCTGCCCTTTACCCCTCATTCAGACTCACATATCCTCAACAGCTCCCTCAAGCAACCCACATCCTCACAATTTCTTCATCCTCCTCACATATCCTCAGGGTTCCCCTGAATTCCACCATCCCTGCATTTTCCAAACTTCTCCTGTTGTTCAAAACTGCCATTTTAAAACCTGCTCTTCCCTTTCAATCCCCTCCAGCACCCCAATTTCATGCAGATCCAGGACTGTGATGCAGCACGGTATATCCTCCAGAGGGTGCTGCAGTGGGACTGCCTTACATTTTTATTATATAGAAAGATAGCAACCTACAGCCTTAAAGAGGAGTACAGTGGAGCCTCGGGTTGCAGATGTAATCCGTGACTGAGGCACGTCCACAACCCACAGCATTCGTAACCTGCAGCACCACGCCTGCGCACATGTGACGCGATTTGATGCGTCTGTGCATGCGCAAAACATGATTTAGCGTTTCTGTGCATGTGCGATTGGCGGAACCCGGAAGTAACCCTTTCTGGTACTTTCGGGTTTCCCGTAGTCCGCAACCTGAAAATGCAAAACCCGAAGCGTTTGTAACCTGAGGAACCACTGTTTAGGAATCTGCCTTTTACATTGGTCCACCTAACTCAGCATTGCCTACACTGACAGGCAGAGGCTCTGAAGGATTTTCAAAAGGGAGCCTCTCCCAATCCCATCTAGAGATTCTGTTAGGGATTGAACCAGGGACCTTTTGTACACAAAGCCGATGAACTACCACTGATCTACAAGCCCTTTCATTTTGTTGCATGAACGGCAACAAAAACGGAGAAACAAATCAAGGCAGAGCATGGCATTGGCTGTGCGCCATGCGCAAGACGTTAGCAATAATTACTCGAACAGCTCATGTTTTGGACTCAGCTTATCGCAGGGCCTGCTACACAACAGCTAAGGTTAAGCTTACAGATTTATGTCTGAGCTCTCCCTGCCAAGATGTGGCATTCCTTCCAAAATCTATAGCAACTGCATGCAGATTCCCCTAAATCTCCAGAGAGCTAATTATGCAAGGGGGGAAAAAATTCTGCTTTTTTTAGGCTGATGAAGACGCTGTGCAGGAGATCCATGACTAGGATCCCCCTGTTTTCATTTTGCTGATTAAAGCCATGTAGAGCCATGCTTTGAAGAGGGGAGGGGATGTTGAATCCTTCCTCCCTGCCTGCCCGCCTGCCTCGCCCATGTCAATTAGCACAGGGGAGGGAAAAAAGATTGGAACAGTAAAAGTGCCGGCTTTATTTCGCTCAAAGAGCCAACATCAGCTTCAGGAATGGAGAAACCAGGCCACCACTTCTCAGAACTAACTGACTTTCTTTATTTGCAGTCTGTGGACAACTATAACACAACAATTAGCAATAAATAACGTAAAGAGAAATGCACATTAATGCAGCTCAAATAAAACACAGAGTTATAACAACGCTAAGCAGTGTGAGTCTCTCTGTGTGCACAGCGATCAGAAATGCTCTAACGAAAACAGCCACATTCAAAAACTTTGCCATCTGTGATCGACTTACTGGAGCCTTGAAGCAGACTGATCGTAAGACACTCAAAAGAGAAGCCAGGAAGGAATTAATGGGATATATTAGGTCTTTCCTAGCCTCTTGATAAAAACCATAGTAAAAAAAAAGAAAAAAGGAGGGGGGATGAAAGATAGACTCAACTGCAACATTTTTAAAAAGGCAGCATCTTTTGTTCTTTGGGGTTTTGTGGTATCTGCCATCTAACAAATTAGAACGTTAAACCTTGTCAAAGAGAAAGAAACTTCCTATATTTAGGGATAGTTAACTTTCCCAAGTCTGGCTTTCCATCTTTATAGAAGGGGCACGGTACCAGCGACTGAGGGGTTCTCACAGAATTCCTTGATGCTCTTGGAAATCGATATCCTAACGCCCCTGTTCAGCAATTGATTTGACACCCTTCGGACCCCACAGTTCACAGGTAAGAGGGTGACAGACCTACTGAGCTAATTTTTGCACCACAGGCTTCAACCAAGGTGATTTGAAAGAATCAAACATGCCGTAGAGACCAAGGAAAACTCACAAGAAGGCTGTGATGGTAAAAGCCTCCCTCTGACAGATTCATATGGGGGGGGGGGAGCTTCGGATCCAACCCAATTGGGAGAGAAGCATACCTCTGTTTAATAATAATAATAATAATAATAATTATTATTATTATTATTATTATTATTATTATTATTATTTATTTATATCCCGCCCTTCTGGCTTGGTCTCCCCAGCCACTCTGGAAGGCTCCCAAGAGAAGACTAAAAACACACAAAAACATCAAACATTAAAAACTTCCCTAAAGAGGGCTGCCTTCAGATGTCTTCTAAAAGTCAGACAGTTGTTTATTTCCTTGACATCTGATGGGTGGGCCTTCTGCAGGGTGGGTGCCACTACCGAGAAGGCCCTCTGCCTGGTTCCCTGTAACCTCACTTCTCACAGGGAGGGAACCACCAGAAGGCCCTCGGAGCTGGACCTCAGGGCTGAGTGATAGGGGTGGAGACGCTCCTCCAGGTATACTGGGCTGAGGCCATTTAGGGCTTTAAAGGTCAGCACCAACACTTTGAATTGTGCTCAGAAACGTACTGGGAGCCAATGTAGGTCTTTCAAGACCGGTGTTATGTGGTCTTGGTGGCCGCTCCCAGTCACCAGTCTAGCTGCCACATTCTGGATTAGTTGTAGTTTCCGGGTCACCTTTAAAGGTAGCCCCACGTTGAGCGCATTGCAGTACTCATTGCAGTTGAGAGACGAGCAAGTTTTTGGTACTGCATGCAGTTCCTGCGCCTCTAGCTTTGTGAGAGCTGAGAAACGAAGCACGAAGTCTTCCACTAGTTATAGTTCCCGAAAGTATAGTTTGCCCAAACTAGGAAACTATGGTCAACAGATTTGGAACAAGCCAGAATATTAAGCCAACTTCAAAGCAACATAGGTTACAAGATTGACTTACAGCCTTTCCTTTTGCATACTAAAACATGTTTTGTTATTCTGGCCTCTTCTGAAGCTGGAAACAATAGCTACCAGGTTCAGAGGAAACAGGAAACGATGGTCAATGGAACTACTCTGTTTGCTCATTGATGTGACGGGGGCTGCATATGCAGCCAGAAGCCCCAGTCATGTCCAGGATTCAAATGAATGAAGTCAATGCCATTGAACTTCGATGGTCAATTCTCAGCAGCCATAGCTGCTGCCCATTGATAAATTTGTTTCCCCCAAAGATGCCAGATCCTTTCTGAAAAGCTTTTGGAGTCAGCAGCAGCCAACACATTTTTTTTTGGCAAATGAATTCCACATGTTATATTTATGAGTTCTATAAAGAAAAGCCGTTTATTCTCGGAGGCATCACCGACTGCTAGACCTCGTGAGTGAGAGAAATGTTGCCATCCTGTGACCAAGTACTTCCTTTGGTAGAATCATAGAATCTTAAGAGTTGGAAGCAACCCAAAGGGCATCTAGTCCAGCCCCCTGCAATGGGTATGTCTTGAATCTGCTGCATAACTGGGACAGTTGCTGGCTGCGTTGGAGAAACTGAATTATGGGGGGAAAACCTTTCCTCCATAAAATAAATGAAAACTTGATTTTTCTCAACTCCGTAGTGGGTGGTTTCACTTTGCCGTCGGCCAAAGCACACTGGAGGCCCGATAGAGTTATTTAAGAGCTTGAAATAATTAGAATTTTTTTAAAATAAAAAAAAATGGATGTAGTTAATTTGCAAGCTCATTCTGGTCGAGTCTGGAGGCACTTCTACACTCACACACTCTCTCCTACTGAACTTACTAACTAATTTGGCTCCATTTGTAATACATTTTCAGTTCTCAGCAGCCGGATCTTCCTACATTCGGGAAAGCAATTACTGAAAGTCACTATGTTCCTTGCTCTCGCTGCTGTGTATCCAAAGGGGTAACAAGGAAATGCTAACTGCTGAGTTTATCACAAGGAATGGCAATTCATGGAGTGAAAGGGGAAAATAAGCAAACCCGTCAACAGGTCGAAAAAGGATGCAGTGATGGACACCAAATTCATGGAGGATATCAGTGGCTTCTAGTGATGATGTCTGTGTAATAAGGTAAAGGTAAAGGGACCCCTGACCATTAGGTCCAGTCGTGGCCGACTCTGGGGTTGCGGCGCTCATCTCCGCCAAGCTAAGCAGTTGGCCCCTTATCTCTCTCGCCCTGACCTAGCCACTGTGATCCACGCGACGGTCACCTCCAGACTGGATTATTGTAACTCGCTCTACTTGGGGCTGCCCTTGAGACTGACCCAGAAACTCCAGCGGGTGCAGAATGCTGCAGCGAGACTCCTTATGGGGTCTTCGCTGCGAGATCACATTCATCCGGTACTATACCAGCTGCACTGGCTCCCGGTGGAGTACAGGATCAGGTTTAAGGTGCTGGTTTTAACCTTTAAAGCCCTATACGGCCTAGGACCCTCGTACCTACGGGACCGCCTCTCCTGGTATGCCCCACAGAGGAACCTACGGTCTGCAAATAAAAACATCCTGAAGGTCCCAGGCCTCAGAGAGGTTAGGCTGGCCTCAACTAGAGCCAGGGCTTTCTCGGCTGCGGCTCCAATCTGGTGGAACGCTCTGTCACAAGAGACTAGGGCCCTGCGGGACCTGACATCTTTCCGCAAGGCCTGCAAGACAGAGCTGTTCCACCAGGCCTTTAGTCGGGGCCCAGCCTGACTCCCTCCTCTGGCAACCTGCACAGAACTTTGCTTAACGGTTGCCATTAATTTGATTTTAATTAATTTTTATAATGAAATGTTTTAGAATGTTGGATTATTTGATTGTTTGATTATTTGTTTGTTGTTAGCCGCCCTGAGCCTGGCTTTGGCTGGGGAGGGCGGG